AAACCTTTTATAACCCCATTTTGAGCTCATACTGTATTTACTTATATGACTGCTGAGAAGTATAAAATATTCTGGGTCTATGTTGCGTTTAGTTTTCAAATAGCAATAACATATTCATCTAATAATTGTGTCTAGATACTTTTGTTCTGTATATTTTGGTATTCGTTTACCATAATCTCAAAAATCATTGCAATATTGGTACAGTATAATAGTGGTAATAATATTATACATAGAGATTTCTGAGACACGCAAACCTAGTTTATCTTGGTAATTAATGTAAATACCGAATAAACAAACTTTTCATAATTTTTTAAAACTTTTTACGCACATCATATTCTCAGATTAAGTAAGTCTAACATGATTTTGGATACAATATTGTAGATTTATTATAATCCTCATGGCATGGTTATAGTGGTCCACTCATTATCACCTAAATTACACTATAATAATAAGCATAATTAATAATTATACTCTATATCTCACACAAGTAATACTGTACTCAAGAATCTATAGTATCTATAGAATCTAACTATAGATATGTCAGTATTCATTTATATGACATTATTGTACACTATTTTGTGAGTTATTATCACTCATTCAATTCGACGAATGGCCGGACACTTCCGAGGGAGACCATAAGATTGTCTGCATATTCTACATGTTATTCCCTATTTAATGACTTGTAAATGAATAAATGAAAGATTTGTCATTTGAAAATGGTTGTTTAGTAAGAGTTTATTAGTAGTTAGTGTATTACTAAGTATTCTCACTAAGGCTTATCGATAATCAGAGTTTTAAGCAATTAAATAGGGAATAACATGTAGAATATGCGGACAATCTTATGGTCTCCCTCGGAAGTGTCCGGCCATTCGTCGAATTGAATGAGTGATAATAACTCACAAAATAGTGTACAATAATGTCATATAAATGAATACTGACATATCTATAGTTAGATTCTATACCCCTTTGGGCCACATCCAGAGTCAGTCAATTTTGAACACACATTAAACACACATTTAGTGCACATCTCTTTGTGTCTAATTACCGGTTACTGTAATAATAAGTGTTTATTAACCATAATTTTTTATAACAAATTGTTAGTTTGTTATAACTTATAATTGATAAGACACGGAATATGCATTCATTTGGTCCACAGAATATGAACTATAGTTGAGGGCACGACCTCTCGATATAACAATCCATTCAAATTCACTCGATGTAAAAGTGGCCAAAAAACCCAACTGTCCATCGCTGGCATTCATCATGTATTTGGCTCCGGAATCGCCAAAAAGTTATTTTAAATTTAAATTTTAAGTTTTAAAATGCTATTTAACAGTAATAATTAGACTGGATATAGTTTTACAGTAAAATGTATCCAAGATCCATTTTGGAAGTGTTCTATTATAAATTTATTTTAGTGCTTTCAATTTGACTAGTTTCAACTTGAAAGTCAACCATATTACTAGTATAGAATGTAACCTAGCACATAAGTCTCAATTCATAAACTAAAGCAATGCAAATGAATGGACAGATAAAAGGAAATTATAAATTAGATTTTAACCGTAAATACAGTACTAATGTTTTGGTGATAAAGTTTAATCAAACAATTTATTTCAGACAAAATAATGTAATAGAAATCAATTGTCTATTTATATCAGTTATTCAATACATATTTGTAAATCGTTAATGAATGTAATATAACGCCTCTATATTTATCAATATTTTAATCATTATGTTTAATGCATTTAATAAAATTAGTTTATTAGTGAGTCATTCACATTTAAATCACATAATGTAATACGTTATCGTTTGAAATAAACACTATTGTATTTCATTAAAAAAAGTTTTCATTTCGTTTTATATATACGAGAAGCTATTTCTTATAATTATTTGTCTACTTAAATAACTATTAAATGACTGAGTTTTAAGTAAACTATATTAAAATAATGTGAATAATAGCCATTAGATTACAATTAAAAGTTTGCGTTGAAGTGAATGAATGCCTATATTAGCGGTGCAGTGAAGCCCACAGCCTATGAATCGTGTGATTGAGTGATTGAGTGCGGAATCCGTGCCTTTAGTGGCGAACTGTAAGGGAGTTGTGATTCAGTGTTCCCTCCAAACAGTCGACACTCCACTCACCCCTCACTCACACCACCAACACATCAATCATTGGATCCATCATTCAATCCATCATTCAATCCATCATTCAATCCATCATTCAATCATCACTTCACACATTATCTCATTATCTCATCCAAAGAGCACTGATTTGTGAGCAGATAATTTCTTTGACGGCAAGAATCGAGTGAATAGGAGGACAAGTGATTGAAAGGCAAGACCTGTTGAAAGCGAATCAATTGGTGACTCCGGAGGATGTCTTCTGTAAGCAAAGAGCAGAAGCTGTTGGATCTGATAGAGAAGAGCGGGTATAACATCGTGCAGGAGAACGGCCAGAGAGTGTTCGGTCCGCCGCCCGATTGGCCACAGAGTCGACCGCCGCCTCAGAAGGGATGTGAGGTCTTTGTGGGCAAAATCCCGCGCGACTGCTATGAGGATGAGTTGGTGCCACTCCTCACCCAAATCGGACCCATCTATCAGTTGCGGCTTATGATGGACTTCAGCGGAACCAACAGAGGCTACGCGTTCGCCACTTATACCAACCAAACCGATGCCAACAAAGCCATCAAAGAGCTGAACAACTGTCAGATCAGAGCCAACAAACGCATCGGAGTCGTCAAGAGTCTCGACAACTGTCGCCTATTCATCGGTAATATCCCTCTCAACAGAACCCGAATGGATGTCATCGAAGAGCTCTCCAAAGAGACAGAAGGAGTGGTGAATGCAATCGTTTACAACAATTACAATAAANGAGTAATGAGAGAGTTGGTGGTAATGGAGTGATACCTGGCCTGGAAGTCTTCCTCATCAGAATAGTTGTACTCTTCATAATAATCAGTCGAATTGGCGGCACTTTTTTCGGCCAAATTTGTGTTCAGATATGGATTGACGAGAGGAGTGTTGGTGACGGACGGCATGTTCGCAGTCCATCCCCTCTTCTGCATGTCTAATATATTGTGGACCAACTCTTTGACGTAAACGCTGATGTCATCGCTGTTGAGACAGTATTTCAGTTCTTCCATCACTCGGTTCATGTCATCGCCTTTCGTTTTGTTGTAATGAGACTCCAGAAGCGAACCGCACAACTGAGTCATAGACAACACATGTAGTACTCATCGAAACCATTCATACAAATAGTGGTCAAACCTTAAGCACCTGACAGACGCACTTCAGGTTCTCTTTGTGTACTTTTGACAGCAGTGTTAGCAACAGTTGCGGCAAATATTCCGCCAATTCTGGGGCGGAAGAGCGGGCATACAGATCGCCGATAAACATGGTTACACCTCTCATATAGTTTTGAGTCTCATCCGAGTTGTTAATCAACGTCTCCCGTCTCGTGTGTTCTCTCTGACACCTATCACACCATTACAAGAGTATTAATTGCCGTCACTTCACTGCAATTACTGTATAAATAGCAACCGTTTAAAGAGGAGGAGTTTGAAAGTCTTGTCTTCAGACAACTCTATCAAGTGATCCATGAAATAAGTGCAAAGACGGACTCCATTGTAACGGAACTGCGGATCAACGATTGCCT